GGGAAGCGACCTAGGAAGGAAAAAGAAAAAAGGCAATCGAGTTAGAAGAAGGATTGTAAAATGGACTAAGGAAGAAATAAAGTTAAAACATGCGTATATGGGATCCTTCTCTTCAAGGATGTGGGCTAAAACGCAAAAAGAAAGGAGAACTCACGAATAGGTCTCATATGCAGTGCTGGGAGCTGGTTAGCTGTCTGGTTCTTACGTCACGGGGGATAACTCGTAGTCATAATTCTGTAACTTACTAACTTTAGTACTTACGTACTAAAAAAATACCTTTCTTCATTTATTTGCTGCATTCTAGCGCCGGGTGCTGATTAGTAGGTCAAAGAATTTGTTTCACTTCATGCTGAAGACGGCAGTCCGTGATGATCTATTGGCGTTGTGTTGTGGCCTTCAAGAGATAATAAAATTTTCAGATAAAAATCTTTGGCAAAAAAATCTTTTAACTTGAATATGTCAGCCAGACCCGAGTCTGAGGAAGTGAGACAAAGTTTCAGTGATACTACAAGGATATTAATTGCTTTTGCAAGCTACATTTGAGTTTATACAAATGGGTCCTCCCACTACAAAAATGCATACATAATTCTAGAAACAAAACACCTGTTTGAATAATTTATTGGTATATCTACGGTTCAACTTTAAAAATGTTCCTAAATGACCTCTATAATGTGCTTTCTTCCCCTTGGCACTACCGCCCCAGAAGGCCTAGGCCTATCTCATGAACTTCTCCGTTCACTTCGGTTTTTCTAGATCTTACACATTCGGTAGGACTCCTTGGGCGGGTGATCAGCTCGTCGCAAGGCCTCTACCTGTATAAAAACACACAGAAAAACGCACACACATAAACTAAACATCCATGCCCTGAGTGGGATTCGAACCCACGATCCCGGTTTCCAAGCGAGCGAAGACAGTACATGCCTTAGACCGCTCGGCTACCGTGACCGGCCTGTAATGTACTTTAGTAGAGGTTATCTATGGACATTTTCAAAGTTGAACTGCAGATATACAAATATATTATTTAAACAGATATTTCGTACTTTGAAATGTGCATAAATAATTAATTTTGTAAATATAAAATATTTTATGACTGGAGAAATACACGCCAATGTATAGGCAGTGGGAGGGACTAAAGAAGACGGTCTACGAGGATGGAATACAAAGTTGTGACACAGAATATTAGACTTATCAGGTGCTAAATAAGTAACTCCAACCTTATGTATGAATATATGGTAGCTTGTAGAGCCGTTACTTGGTAACGACTTCCAAATAAACAACAAAACAGCATCCGTTACTAGACAACGACCGCTAGATAAGCATATATACCAAGGCCGTTACTGGGTAACGCTTTCCTAGACAAAACACTTTTCAACGGAAACGATTTGATCAACAACAGAAGAGCTGTGTTTTCTGTTGTTCCGTGCCGAGATGTTACAAACAAGGGACAAGGTTAGTTAGTTAGTTGAAAGTCAGTCTGTGAAGAGAAGACTTAGTACCAGAGCGCAAGGACGTAAGCGGACAGATTTCAAATGCCTCGCCATGTATATCATGCGAGTCTTTTTGATTATCATATACTCGTAAAGCTAAAACTAGTTGCATAGAAACATGTATACAGATGTTGAATGAACGTAAGTTCAGAAAGAGCTGAAATTATATTGTGTCAGTCTCAAAAACCTGTTTCTAATATTTATTGTTTCATACCTCATCCCAGGACCTGCATAAAATAACTGGCTCTTTTATTGCATGTGTCCTAAATTGTACTCAAATTATAAAGCTTTTTTTGTTATGTTTTACTCGATTAATTCTTGTGAGTATTAAAGTATGGCTGCTGTCAAAACAACCCGTAAGAAGGGGCATTAAACCGTTAAATTTATTTTCACATCTTTCAGACTTTAAT